ACAATCGTCGAACTGAAGGACGGCCAGAGACGATTACGTCGCAGTCGTGCCAAGCACATGGGGCGCCTGGCGAAGCTCGAGGAGGACAATGCGGCATTGCGTAAGGACTACGCCGCCCTTGTGGCCAGGAGCTGCTTCCGCCATGGGAGGAACGCGCCTGCGCTCGCAGGGTGCACTTTAGCCGCGCGGAGGAACACTGCGCACGCAGGGGCCCTGACAACCGCGCAGATGATCACGGGTGTCGGCGAGCCTGGCTCGATCAAGTCATGCCACCCTGTCCTTCAATTCGAACGCAGATTGTCCGCAGCGAAAGCCCTGCGTGCGCGGGAGTTTCACGGCCGCAGCAGTGGCGCATCCGACCCGACCAACGCCTTCGACTGCTACCTGATCAAGTGCGACGCAACGAACCAGGAGGCCATCGGGAAGGCCAAGGTCCACGTCGCCGTGGTCCACAGCGCCAAATGTTATACAGAACGTGTGCTCGCCCCGCAGTCCCTGCCTATCAGGCCAGAGACTGCTGCCCCGTCCGTTGAAGTCCTGTCCACGGTCGCAGACTTGGCCAGGTGCGTGGAGAACAGCGGCGCGGAGACGTACAACCACTGCCTGCACCATTTCATGTCGCTCGGGTGCCCGACGTGGCTGGACGCGACAGCACGTCCGAGAAAGGAGAAGCCACGCCTTGCGCTCTACACGTTTGGCGTCGACGCGGGCCCTGATAACGCTGGCATGCTGAAGCGCATCTTGGGCGACGTCCACGGGGTGTCCGATGTCGCGGTGATGGCAGTGTTCTGCCTGCACCACCAAGTCCACCTTATCGTGAAGGACCTGCTGTGCGTCATGGAAGCGTGGTCCTGGGGGGGCGCGCTCGATGGCGGGCGAAAGAGGTACTGGCCGTCGGTCGCCACCGTAGCGAATGTCTGGCGTTCGACTGGGATGCCAGCGCGCCTGCGCCAAGCGGCTCTCGAGGAGTACGACCCAGACCCAGCGCCCGCCAGGCTGTTCAGAGAACTCCCTGGCCGCCCCCTGCGTGGCCGATGGGGTTCAATCGCAGCCGTGGAGGAGAAGCTCGTCGCTGCAGCGGATTGCATCGGCAGCGTGTTCAGCAGGGCGATCGGCATCTTCCTCGCAGGTCGCGACAGCGACGACGAGGATGCGCCGCCTCCGAAGCGCCGCAGGCGCGCTAAGCCTGGAGACGACGAGGACAAGGAGTTCCAGAAGAAGCAGAAGAATTACAGGAGGACTTCTGTGGAGTGCACGAACGATCGCTTCTGGCGCGCGGCGATCGAGATCTCCTTCATCGCCAAGCAGCCGCTGACAAAGTATTTCTTCTGGGCGCAGAAGCGGAAGAAGGAGCACGACCAGCTCGCCGCCAATGCTGCGCCAGATGCATACCTCGGCCCAACACCGCTGTCGCTTCTCGTCTGCAGGAAGAGCGGCGAGGTCTCCAGGGAGCTCGAGCAGCTACTTGGGCACGGAGCGGACCTGGGCGCATGGGCGAACATCTGGCACGTCATCCCCGTGCCCGCCTTCCCTTCGGCGAGGCTCCTGATCGTGAGCCTCGTGCTGCGCGCTATGGCTGGCTGGGATGCGCGGGTGTTGCGGCGGACGGAGGCTTGCCCGCTGTCTCTCCTGAATGTCACCGAGGCCCCGCAAGACGACGTGGCCGCGGAGACGCTCGGCTTTCGACGGGCGTTCGCCCAGAACCTCTTGGGCGCCGATGAGGGGGGCTTGGTGACCGCCAGCAGCGACGTCGCCCTCAAAGTGAGGGAGCACTTCAGGGGCGCTTGGCGCCATATGGCGGCTGACGGCACTTGCGACCCTGCGCTGAACTTGTGGCTGTTGATGTGGAGGTTGCAGCTGCCCCACGACACCCAGGACATCGAAGGCGCGAACTCCATCATCCAACGCATGGCCAGCGCCGCCCCGAACATGCACACCCCGCTGTGCTCGGACAGGCTGCGCATCAAGCTCGGTACGCCCATTGCGCCCGAGGGGCGCGTCGCGATTCACGCCGCCGTCCTGGACTTCATGAAGTCGCCAGGGTACCAGGACAGGTTCGATGCCGAGGCGCTGGCGGACGCAGATGTGACAGAGGTGACAGAGGTGGCTGAGGTGGCCGCCGCGCCGCCGCTGGCGGGCGCCCCCCCAGGGCCCCCGCCTCCGCCGATGCCCCTGTCGGCTGCCGAGGCTGCTGCCGCGCGGGCCGCGCGGGCCAGGCGGCGGCGCCGCATTGCCCTGCATGTGGCGGGCATGTACGCGGCCCCAATTGCAGACATGAAGCCCGAGTTCATGGACGTGTTGTTCACTCTTGATGCGCCTGGCGCAGGCGACCGCAGCGCGTTCCTCCAGTGCTGGTCCTACAAGCGGAAGGTCACAGCGGCAATGGGTACGCTCCGCCGAGAAGGGGGCGAATGGCGGTTCTACTTAGACATGCCAGTCCGCCTGCGGCCTCTGGTTGAAGTGGTATCCGAGTTCAGGGGGCCCGCCGCCTCCGCCAAACGCTTGGCGCCCATGCGGTTGTGGTCGGGTCATGTCGATTGGGTGTCCTTGCAAGTCGCGATCTACGACGACGATGACGAGGCGCCCATGGACATTTCGCCTCGAAAGCGGGCTGCACGGGCTGCGGCGGCGAAGGCGGCGAAGGCGGAGGCGGGCCCCGACGGCGCACCTGGCGAAGGGGGCGAGGGCGACGAGGACTCATGCGATGACGAAGAATACGCAGATGCAGATGCAGCGCTGGAAGAGCTGCTCGGCGAGATGATGGAGGAGGAGGGCGAATGCTCCGAGTGCGGCGGCGGCTCTGGCGACGAGTCGGGGGCGGGCGGCGACCTCGCGCCCCGCCCCGCGGACGTCGAGTTGGGGCCCGACGGCGCGCCGCCGCCCGACGTCGGCGGCGGCGACGCGGGCGGCGGCAGTGACGACGGGGGCGACGCCGCCCACGGCCACGGCGGCGACGTGGACTGCGAATCGGGCGCTGAGTTCGAAGATGGAGGCCCAGAGGGGGCCCCAGCGCCTGGGGCGCCCCTCGGGGCCATTCTCCCCGAGCACGTCGACCTGGTCCGCGCGCGCATGGAGGAGATTCGCGCCGCGGAGGCGATGGCCCTGGAGCGGAAGGGAAGGCCTCTGGTGAAGGGGGCGGCCAGCTTGGTCGCGTTGCCCGATGGTCGTGTCCTGTTCCTGGTTTGGACCAAGCCAGAGATCAAGGAGGCCCGCCCGATGCGCCTGGACGAGAAGGACAGGATCATCGCCTTGGCGCCGTTCCTGCAGCCCGTGGGCACTTACGACAACCTTGACTTCATCGTACATGACACGGGCCTTTACCAGGGGAGGGCGCCGAGGGGCGAGAGATACACCGTCGACGGGTGGCTCCTTCTCTTGCGGCTGAAAGCTAATGCAGCGATTCACCAGGGGCCTCTCGACCCAAAGAAAGATGGGACATGCGCCCATTGCAGACTAGTCCTCATACCACAGGGAAAGCCACTACCAGACGACACGGACCCGACGGTTATGTATTACAGGTGCATGCGCTGCTAATGTATATGGCACAATTGTTGCGCCGCGCGCCTCGATGACTATGGCGGCGTGCCTGGCGACTTCGACGAATTCGTTTGCCCGCCGCGTCGGCGGTGCTGACGCTGGGGGATGCAGGCGTGAAGGGCGAGAGTGGCCACCCCTTAAGGGGGGCAGCGGCATCTCGCGATGGTTAACGTTCGACAATGTGGTTTGTGTTGTGTCTGGTGCGTGTACAGCGTGCCCCTGGACATCACCATTGCTATCATATGGGCTTATGTGTACATCTGGCAACATGTGCAGGACCCGTTTTCTCTTGGCTTCTCTGCTTGCCAACTGGCGCGGCATGGTGTCATTGCAGCCGCCCATAGAGTGCATTGCCATGCGCTGTGGGGGTGAGATGGGGCGCCCCACCCCCGAATGAACCGCTAATGTCGCATTGCATGAATCATGGATGCATCGTGCGCACCTAGGACACGTCAGGGCCTGTGCAGGACCCAGTGTGCCGTGGAATTGCCTTTCAGTCCAAGGGCCTTCTTCCGTACTTGCTTGAAATAAATGAACGATGTGTTGCGCAGGCGCCGAGGGGTGCCCAGCCATCGTCTGCCAGGAGGGCGAGCTGCTCAGGCCTGGCGAAGCTCTCCGCGCATCATTTGCCTCGCTCTTCTGCTCTGCCGCCATCTTGCACCGTCTTCGTTCGCTTCTGCTTGGCTGACCTCTCCGAGACTTGGGGCTCGCAGTTGCACTCGTCTTCTTGAGCCTCGCATCTGCGGGGGACGGGGAAAGGGGGGGCTGGGGGGGGGAGCGCGGGGGGGGGGAAGGGGATGGCGAGGGCCAAGAGGAGGAGGAAGTCCGAGGGCCAGGAGGTGAGCGACTGTGGCGGATGGGCGCAGTGGCAATGTGATTGAAGATGCGCGGGGCGACGGGCGGGGCGAGGCATGCGGGGAGGAGAAGGGTAGGGGAAGGAGTAATATCACATTGCGGGGGGTCAGGAGGCGCGGCCAGGGGGATCGAAATCGTGGAGGAGGGGGGGTGCGGAGGCGGAAGAAGAGGGGGGGGGGATGAAGGGAGAAGGTGAGGCGCGATAGGGTTGTGGATGAGGATGAGGGAGCTCGGACGGATGCTCGGTGGGCGCGTGGCCTCCTTATTCCAGGGTGCGCCCGGCCTTCCCCCTCATCCCCGAAACTCTTCCTCTGCTTCGTCGCGCGCCCCCCCCCCCTCTTGCCCATCGTCCTGCTTCCCAGGGCTCGCCTTTCAGCGCCCTTGCATCAAACCTTTTTGCCGATCTTCCCGCTCCACCTCATCATCCTCGCGTTCGTGGGCATGTCCGCGAGTGTGGCCCTGTGGGTGTTGCTTCTTCTACTGGCGGCGATCGCCGTCCATCGCGTTCCCCTCCGCAGTGCGCCCCATCTTTGTGTCGACGTTCGTTATCGTTGTGGACCCCCTCCCTCTCGCGCCCTTGCCAACATCGCCCGCCGCCCCCGCGCGAGGCCGTTCGCCCAGCGATCCTTCGACATGGCGGCGCACGTGGGCGAAGACGAAGCATACGAGACCGTGCAGGAGCCAGCAGTCGCCGCGCTGCGCCTGGCCAGGCAGGGCAGAGAGAGAATGCGCGAGGTGTGCGCGTGGGGGGGGCGACGCATTCTCATGTCGCAGGGGGCGGATGGCGAGTGAGTCTTACGTCGCCGCGTGCGGCGCACGTAGCCGCGTCGGCGGAGCCCGCGAGGCAAAAACGCTGGGCGCTGGCCTCCATGAGTTTGCGCTTGCACCGCCCGCCCCCGTCGCAAACGAAACATTTCCGTCTGCCCGAGGAGGCTGGAATTCTGAATGCATCTTCCCGCGTGTGCGCTGTAGACCAGCGTATGGGGGCCCGCTGTCGAGCGTGTTCTATGCCCCCTCCCCGTCGGGCCCGCGTGGGCCTTGTCCATGGCGGGGCGGGGCGGCGACGCCGCCATCGAGGATGTTCGATGGTGCCTCCCCTCGGTGCGCCATCGAAGATGTCCGATGGTGGCCGCCGTGCGTGGTCCGCCGTCGAACTGCTTCGATGGCGCACTGGGGGGGGGGGGGGGAGGACGTCGAACTACTTCGATGGTGAGGGGGTAGCATGGCCCCGTCGAAGTACTTCGATGGCGAGGCGGTCTGCGCGACCAGGGGGCGCGCCATCGAACTACTTCGATGCTGATACGTGGCCTGCTGAGGGGCCCATCGAACTGGTTCGATGCCGAACCTCGCCCGCAGCCCCGGGAGACCATATACATAATGAACCCGGAGCGACCGCGGCATCGAACGCATTCGATGGGCTTGGGGCGGGAAGCGAGCCGCCATAGAAGGAGTTCGATGCAGCCCAGGGCCCCCCATAGAGGCCCTTCTATGGTGCTGTCTTGGCCCACAAGGGCCATCGAAGGAGCTCTATGGCGGCCTCGGTTTTCGCGGCCGCCCGGCGTGATGTAGCGCGTTTTTTTTTTTGCGCGTTCAGTTTTTTTTCCTGTGTGCATGCGCGTGCTGTCCGTGTGTTTGCGTGGGCGAGTTTGTTGCGGCGTGCGTTGCGGACGCTTTGTTTCGCGCGTTGATTGGCTCGGCGCGACGCGCGCGCATGGTTTGCGCGCGCGTTTGCGCGGCCAGGTCGCGCTGTTTACCGCGCGTGCCGCATAGAGCCGTTGATGGCGACATAGCGTTTGCGGCGGGGCACATTGCGTTCGGTTTCGCGGCGCGTCGAGCTGGTGAGTGTTAGCGCATTGCGACTGCGAATTGTCCGAAATGGGCCCCGTGCGAAACCCGCTTCTGACGCAATCGGAACAGGCGCGGTGGGGCGCCATTGCGGCGACGCTGGCTGAGACAGGGGCGGAAACTATCGGGGGGAGACGGGGGGGGGGGGTGGAGAGGCGAGAGTGACGGGAAGAAAGAATGGGGCAGCTGAGAATGAAGCATTCTTGATGAGCGGCAGAGACGGGCATAGCGAATAGTAGGCCAACGATGCCAAGGGCATGGCGAGTTTCATGGGCCCTGTGGGGCACGAGGAAGTGCGCTGAGGAATTGGGGCGGAGGCATCAGCTGGAGAGGGGTGTGGAGAAGGGTGAGGATGGACGCCCAGAGGGGAGATCTGCTTGACATGCCGTTGTCTGCCCGCGAGAGCCGCCCCGCCCAGGACAGGTACGGCGACGGTCTGACAATGTTGGAATACCAAAAGAAGATCGACGATGAGTTCATGGACATACCTGATAAACACGTGAAATTCTTGTGCAACGGTGAGTTTACGATCGTGGGGACGGGGGGAGGGGGGGCGGTCTGGCCTGCTCTCCTAGTTGAGGAAGGGGCGCGGCCCGTGACCCATGACAATCGGCGCGATGATCTCCTCGCGAACGGGAGGGCGCCCCAGGAGGAGGCAGGGGGGGGGCAGAGCGACAGTGCGAGCACGCCCCAGCAGCAATGCTCGTCCTCACCATGTGAACTACTTTCTCTGGGTGCTTTTCTCAAGCCCCTGGCAATCGGACACGCCTGCCTTAGTCTTTGTGCGCATTCTTGCTTGCAACAGCCCCGCCCTCCCGCCCTCATCCATTGCCCCTCGTGCGCTTTGCTGCTCGCGCACCCGCTGCGCTCTCATCCCCATCCTTCCTCGGCCAGCCTGCCTGCTGCGCCGTCCCCGACCCTGCCCCCCCTCCTCGCCCGCCGCTTCCCTGCCCACCTCCGCTTCCGAACCCCCATCCAGCCTCGCCTGCCGCCTCTGTTTCCGAACCCCCATCCAGCCCTGCCCACCCCGCTTCCGAACCCCCCTCATCCGGCGAGCAAGCGCAGGGAGGGCAGGCTCGTCATGAGCACAATGACCGCGGTGATGTGGCATCGATTAAAGCTCGGAAAGAAAGTATTGAATCAGTTGGGCTATTGTGGGAGCTGAAAGGGCCAGCTTGGCTAGTTCGGCACAATGACCCTGCGAAGGAGGAGATCGGGGGGGGGACTCGCTGTTTGCACGGGGTGCGCGGTGTGCATGTTCGCTCGCTTGCACCATCCACGTTCGAGCAACGCTGCCCCCCCTCCCTGTGAGTGGGTCGCGCGCCCTCCTGCCTCTGCCCTCCCGCCCTCCGCCGCCCAAGCCTACGGGACAGGACTTCTTCTTATCGCTGCACGGCGCCACGTTGGCCCAGGGGGTGAAGGCGGCCTGGGAGGCCGACAAGAAACAGCAGAATCGCAACGTGCAGAGGAGGGGGGGAATGGGGGTGGAGCCAAGTAGCGGCGCAGAGGCGAACGATGACCAGTGCGGATGTCGCGAGAGCGAGGGGCAGGATGAGAATCGGGATGGGGGTGGCGAGAGAGCGCGGCGAGAAAGGTAGTGAAGCATAAGGGGGATGGGGCCGAGAGGAGGGCCGATGAAATGGGCAACTCTGCATGCGCATTTATTCATAGGGCTGGGCTGCGGGGTGGCCCAGAGACCAACGAGGAAAAGGAGTCTCTGGAGGAGTGGGGGGCATGCTGTTGCATCTGCCAGGTGCTGCATTGCCTGGGGCGTTTCCCAGGAGGTGCGGGGGGAGTTGCACGAGAGGGGAGGGCAGGAGCATGGAGCGTGGTTGGCCTCACTGCAAAATATACAGACGTACAATTACAAAAGGGTGCTGCATCTTTCTCAAAGAAATGGGGAATCGTGTGAATGAGAATTTCACGGCGACAGCCGTGATTGAGAAGTTGCGGGCCCTGGACCAGATCGGCATCGGCTGGGGCGCGTGCAGGGATAGAAAGCATGGTTGGGATTGGAACACTCTTGGACAGACCGCCTTCGCCAAGAAGCGCCATGATTATGTTGAAGTGGGGGGGGGGGGGGGGGGCACAATGGGGCATGATCGGAAGGTGTCGGTAAATGACGGGATCCGGCAGGGCATCTGCGGGCGCGCCCTGCACTTTGACGGGGCGTGCTGGGGGCGCAAGGAACGACATTGTGTGTTGAGAGGGTGGGGTGGTTGCCATTGTCCTGTCATTCGTAGTTCTCCCATGTGGTATGCTTGCAGTGCTGTTCCAGGGGAGGGGAGGTTCGGAAGCCTGGCTGGTTCCCTTCGATCAACTCGTACGAGACTACCCATACTTTCAGGCGTGAGTCCGTCGCCCTGAAGCTGGCCAACGGGCAGTCGGTGTTTGACCATCTTGATAGCCGCGCCCAATCAGAAGTCGACTACCCCCGCATGGACTCGTCCATGCACCCGCGCGTGTTCAAGATCTTGGCTACGACCATGAAGGCGCCGCCAAGGGATGAGCACGGGGTCGAGGAGTGCATGGGGGGAAAGAAAGGGAGGGGGGGGAGAGGGGGGAGGGGGGCATGAGAGGGGGCCGTGTTAATGAGGAGGGGGTGGGGATGAACACGTGGCAAGCGATTGCGCTGCTTCACGCGATGTGGATTGTTGCGTATAATGGCCCCAGTGCTTTTCACGCGTGTCAGTGCATGTCGCGTCGACGCGCCAGTCTCGCACGGCGTTGAATTACGTTGGCCCGCCCTCGAAGCCGACCGCAGATCCTGAAGCGGGGGTACTTGGAGTATGTGGTGCCCATCAGTTTGCTGGCCTTCCCTCGGGCAGGCGCCCCGTGGGGGACATGCCCGCTCCTTCCAGGCCACGCGGGCCTCGTGGGGCGAGGATTGGGAGGATGAGGGGGAGGAGGGGGGGGGGGGGGGGTGGAGGAGGATGAGGAGGAGGAGGAGGGAGAGGAGAAGGAGACGACGAGGAGGACGAGGAGGAGGAGGAGGAGGAGGAGGAGGGGGTGGAGGGGGATGGGGGGGGGGAGCGAGCGGCGGGCTGGAGGAGGGGGGGGCAAGCTGTGAGCGAGGAGGTTGGGATGGTGGGGCGGGGATGGAGAACGGGCGAGGGTGGAGGAGAATGGGGGCGCGTGGGGGGATGGGAAGGGGGGGGGGGGGGGGGGGATGACGAGGGCGGCTAGGTTGGCGATGACGGGACGGGCGGGGCAGCTTGCAAGGCGGACTGCCGCTCCTCAAGGTGGTCACGGAGGAGAGGCTTATTGGAATGTTGGAGGAATACGAGGAGAAGGAGGAGGTGGCGCAAGCCAAGCGGGATCTGAAGAAAAAGAAAATTGCCGAGAAGCTGAAAGAGAAAGTTCAGAGCCACTTAGCCAAAGTTAGCAAAGCGAAAAAGAAAGCTGTTACTGAACAAAACACCTTGGCAGCCAAGGGCGTGATCAAACAGAAGAAGGTAAAACTCCCCGTCCTGAAGCAGGCCCGAGTGCCCTTGGCGCTCATTGAGTCCGACGAGCACACTGGGGTGCGAGCTGACTTCTTCAAACACCTGGAGGCGGGGCTTGCAACCATGCAGCAGATTGGGAAGGGCCACGAGAAGGTGATCGAAGCTGCCAAAGAGATCGCATTGTACATGGCTTGTGCAGGGTGGGGGCTTCGGGGAGGGCGCATGCATGTGCTGGGCAGCGAGGGGGGGGGGGGGGGGGGGGGTGGGGGAGGGAGAGTGGGCAGGGGGCGGGCAGTGATGAGGGGGGAAAGGGCAGTGAGAAGAGGGGGAAGGGAGAGGCAGCGAGGCAGGGGGGGCAGCGAGGAGGGGGGGCGGGCAGTGAGGAGGGGGGGAAGGGGGAGCGGGCAAGAGGGCTGGGGGTCGACGTTACAGAGAGACATGCGAAGCACGGAGAACGGGCAGGGGCAGAAGGGTTGGGGGCGCCAGGAAGGAGGAGGGATG